AAATATAAAATTATATAAAAGTTATAATATTTATATATTAAATTATATAAAATCATTTTATTTTTATTTCATTATTAGTTGTACTTTTATTTTAACATTCATATATATGTATATTTACATGTATATTCTTATAAAATATAATTGTAAACTTACCATCTGGTATATGTGGTCGGCATAAAAGAAATGGATTTCCAGTGTAACCAGGTGGACAACTGCACATTGGAACGTGATTAACAACGTCACAACGTGCATCACGACCGCATGTGTCTGGGCAAGGATCCACGCAGTTTTGATTGATGCAAGTTTTGACACGAGGACAATCTGAATTCATTGTACATTCTGGCCGACAATACGAATATGGATCTCCAAAGTAATTAGGCAAGCACCTGCATACACCTTCGTTACATTCTGCATTGGGTCCGCAAGGTGACGGACTGCACAAATCTTCGGGAATCTTTGGTTGTTCTGCAACATTAATTTTTCACATTTACATAAAGAAAATAATGTAAAATTTTAAGAAAAGAAAACTTTTATTACTTTATGTTATTTCAATTTATCAATATGTATTGTATCTTGCAATAAATTATCAAATACCAATAAATGATATTTGAAATTCTATTTATTTTTACGTTCGCTATATATCTATATACATATTATATGTATATTAGATTATGAATGCGATCAAGTTACCGCTACGAATGCTTCGAAGCATTTGATTAAGCAATCGAAAGAAAGAATTTTATTAACTGACCCTATATTATTTATTTATACTTACAAAGTTTTATTTAAAAAATCAATTTAAAAAAAATTTATCTGTTTTTTCAATCAAATATACAAAATCATTTGTAGAAATTCAAATAAGACGCACCTCTAATTACTGTGCACAATGTGAAAGGATCGCCGGAATATCCAAGTTGACACAAGCAAACTGGTATGTGATTCTGTACTCGACAATCAGCATTTTGACCGCAGGAACCAATGCAAGGATCGCGACATTTTTCAGAGATACAAGCTTGATCCGATGGACAATCTGTATTAACTACGCATTCTGCACGACAATTGGGCGGTATTCCTATGTAATTTTTCAAACAAGTGCATGCGGCTTGATTATTGACTACTTTGCACTCCGCGTAGAGTCCACATGGGCTAGGGAAACAAGGATCCACCGGTGGTAGCGGCACAACTAAATGATTAAATATATACAGATATAGATAAATATAATAATAATAAAATAATATGTAACTTTTTAATGCTATCCTTACATACGTAAATAAATAAATAGAACACGTTAATTAAATATATCTATTGAACAGTTAATTAAATATATCTGGATAATTACCAGGTTCAGGGAAACATCTAGAGAAGGGATCGCCCGTTTTTCCTTGCGGACAACTGCAGAGTGGATTATGATTAATAACACGACAATTGGCTTCAATTCCACATGTGCCGGGGCACGGATCAGTACATTTGTATTTATAACATGCTCTATTTTGCGGACATTCTGAATTGACGACACATTCCGGTTTGCAATTTGGTGGTACACCAACGAAAGATTCTTGGCATGTGCACACGGCTTGATTGTTTACAGCGCGGCACAAGCTGTTTGGTCCGCAAGGTGAAGGAGAGCATGGATTTCTTACAGTAGGCTCAGTATCCACTTCCGGTTGTAAGGTGCAAGTCGTAAATGGATCTCCAATGTATCCAGGCTCACAAGTACACGTAGGAATGTGATTGATCACTGAACACTGTGCTCGAACGCCGCACACACCTGGGCAAGGATCCTTACATTTGTTGCGAACGCAAGCCTTATTCGTAGAGCAATCCGCACTGAGGACACACTCCGGTTGACATCCCTCGTAAGGATTTCCTTGATAATCATCGATACATATACAAGCGCCAGCATTGTCTCGTTGCTGACAGATCGCGTTAGCTCCGCACGGTGAAGGTTCACAAGGATTCATTGGTTCCTCTGCAGAAAAAAAATTGTCTAATATTTAATTGGCTCAAAATTGATTAACTAAAAAAATGTAATGTTCTAATAAGATATAGGCAGTAGAAGTAAAAATAATCCCAGCAAAAAAATAAATGGTTTGATTTAAAAAAAATTAAATCTCGCTCTTGCTAAAATATGAATAAAAAATCAGTCAAAATAAGTCAAATAAACATACCTTCTAACACGCATTGCACGAATGGATTACCCGTGTAGCCGAGTTTACACGAACAAGTTACTGCGTGATTCACCACTTTGCACTCAGCGTTGTCCCCGCAGGATCCCGGACAAGGATCTTTACATTTCATGTTTATGCAGGATTTTTCCGGCGGACAATCAGGATTGATCAAACATTCTGGTCGACATGATGGCGGAGTGCCAATGTAAGTGGGCAGACACGAACATGACGGTTGTCCATTTGTGTTCTGACAAAGTGCGTTTGGTCCGCATGGCGAAGGATTGCAAGGATCGCCCCGGTCTTTAGGTTCCGGTGGTACTAAAATATTGATACAACATTTTATATTTATTTGATCAATTTAATTTGTTCAAAGCTGTTACAAACATCTTCTGCATTTATTAAAATTTTCAAAATTAAGAAAATCGACTTTTGCTGTACAATTCTTAAATATTATTAACATTATATTTCTATTGATATAAATTATATTAATATCGTTTTATTTGCAAATGAATAATTTAATTTTCCTTACGTGGAATATCGTAACAACTTCTGAACGGATCTCCAGTTTGTCCGGGTAAACAACTGCATATTGGCGAGTGATTGATCACTTCGCATCTCGCATTCAGGCCACAGGAACCCAGACATGGATCTGTGCATTTTTTGTTTACGCAGGCTCGCGTTGGCGGACATTCAGAACTAACGAGACACTCTGGTTTGCAGGATGGTGGAGAACCAAGATAGCCTTGAAGACAGGAGCACACAGCATGATCTTCGACATTACGACACTGACTGTTCGGTCCGCAGGGCGAAGGCGTGCACGGATCCTTTCGAGAATCTGGCACTGCAGAAAAATTAATTTTGTAATTAACAAGCTGACTTTAAAAATTTGATGAAAAATTGGTGCTATATATATAGTTATAATAGCAATGAAATGGAATAAAAAAAAACAATAGTTTTCTTTGCATACCTCTAGGTTGAACACGGCAGCTAACAAATGGATCGCCAATATATCCAGATGGACAAGAGCAAACAGGAATGTGATTGATTATGTCGCATTGCGCGTTTTGGCCGCATATTCCGGGACAAGGATCCTTGCATTTGTTCTTCAGACAAGTTTTATCGCGAGCACATTCCGAATTAAGAATACATTCGGGCCGACAGGCCTCATAAGGATTACCGATGTACTCTGGCAAGCATCTGCAATCACCATTATCGCATATGGCGTTCGGACCACACGGGGACAGTGCACAAGGATCCGTGGATGGTGATTCTGTAACTACACAGATAAAAATGTTTATTTTAAAAATAAATCAAATTAATCTGATTTTCGTTTCGCAATTAATTTTTTGCAAAACATCGAAATATTTATTCATCATATATAATGCGTTGCTCTATGTTTTTACCTGGTGGAATAATGCTGCATTGCGTAAATGGATCTCCAGTGAAACCTTCCATACACGTGCAAACTGGCAGATGATTTAATACATGACATTGAGCGTTTATTCCACACGAGCCTGGACAGGGATCCGCACATCTTTGATTGACACATGCGAGGTGGCTCTTACATTCGGTGCTTAAGATGCATTCCGGTCGGCACTGCGGCGGGACGCCAATGTAATTTGGCAGGCAAGAGCAAGCAGGATTACCAGATATTATTTGACATAAGGAATTTGGACCGCAAGGCGATGGAGTGCAAGATGGTGGCCGTTCAGTTATTGGGATTTCGGTAATAACTGAAAAATGATTAGCATATATTTTTATATCTAATAGAAATTTGCGTAAATATATCAATAACATTTCATTTTACAAATTAATAAATATATAAAATTAATAAATATGTAAAATATAATTTGGAAAAATGCAATATTAAAAATTGGGAGTACAAATTAGTTCGGTCCGTTCAAAAATGCATTTATTTCAAAACAAAATGAATGAACAGATCAATTAAAGTATTGTCCATCGCTGCCTACTACTTTTTCCCATCTCTCAGGCAATTTTCGAATTCCATCTCGAAAAAATGACTCATCTTTGGAGGCGATTCAATTTTGGAGCCAATTTTCTGTGAAAGAAGTGAACCGATGACTTGCTGCATCCTTCGGAACAACCAATAATCAGAAGGAGCAATGTCCGGAGAATACGGCGGGTGCGGTAAAACATCCCATTTGAGCATTTCCAAATATTTTTTTACTTACTTTAGCGACATGAGGCCGAGCGTTGTCACGAAGAAGAATAAATTTATCATGTCTTTGCTCGTATTCTGACCGTTTTTCTCGCAATGCACGGCTCAAACGAATCAATTGTAGCCGATACCGATCGCCCGTAATAGAATCCTCAGATTTTAGCAGCTCATAGTAAACAAGACTCTTTCGATTCCACCAGATACAGAGCATGATTCGAACTATGAATGTTCGGCCGTGGTTTTGATGTTGATGTTGAGATCGAGATGGCAACGATTGACTGAGCTTAGCGTAGTATTTTTTCTTCTTGAGGTTGTCGTAGAATATCCACTTCTCATCTCCAGTCACAATCCGATGCAAAAAATCTTTTCTCTGTTGTCTTTGAATCAGCTGTTCGCAAGTGAAAAATCGCCTTTCAACTTCTCTTGGTTTCAGTTCATAAGACATCCAATTTTCTTGTTTTTGAATCATTCCCATGGCTCTCAATTGTACAGAAACGGCTTGTTGAGTTACCCTCAATGATTCTGCAAGCTCCTCTTGCGTTTGACTCTGATCTTCTTCGAGTAATGCCTCTAATTCTTTGTCCAAATTTTTTTGGCTGTCCAGAGCCAGAAGCTTGTCTTCAACGCTGAAATCTGCATCCTTGAAAGGTCGAAACCATTCCCATTCCATGATTTATCAGTTGAAGCAGTGTCACCAAAAAACTTCGACAAGTATTCAATGGGCTTCAGCCGCACTTTTCTTCCAATTAAAGCAGAAAATCAAAATCTCCCGCAAATGCTGCTTGGTTAATACAAAATTCGACATTTCAAACACAATAAAAATCAAGGTTTTTGTATGAAACTCAAAGCGATAAACTGAATATTATTAGACTGAATATTATTAAACTGAATATTACAGATGTTTAACCTCTCTGAAACCATCAAAATCAGCTGTCATTATGAACCATTCACAACAGCTGGAGCCATCTTTAGGGAAACGAACCGAACTAATTTGTATTCCCAATAAATGTAAAAAGCAATTTTATCAGCTTATTTTTTTAGAATATTCATGTTGATGTTAATATATAATAATGTAAAATGCTTACTATATGTAAAATCCTTACCATGTGGCGAGCAGAAAGTGAAAGGATCTCCTGTAAAACCGGCAGGGCAGGTGCAAATTGGATTGTGGTTTTTGGTAATACATTGTGCCTTCAATCCACAGATATTCGGGCAAGGATCTACACATTTTTTATTTATACATGCTAGATGTAGAGGACACTCAGCATTAACGATACATTCTGGTCTACACGATGGTGGAATACCCCTGTACTCTGGTAAACAAGTGCATACAGCTTGATCGTTGACAACTCGGCATTTACTATTAGGTCCACAAGGTGATGGAGAACACGGTTCCAATGTTTCTAGAAAAATAACATTGCATTTCTCATGAATTTTTATTTTTATACAAAAATGATTCTTAAAAAACAATTATTTAAAGTGCAGCTTTTCAATAATTATGATTATCACGATTTATTTGCATGATTAATTATAGTGTATCCATATATTGATTAAATATAATAAAATGTAATAATTATTAGCATTATTTTAACTTAGTTAATTAATACTTATTTTTCATTTTCAAATTTATAATTCCATTACTGAAAATACTTACTTATCATCTCCTCAATTTCGCAAGCGAAATATGGATCTCCAGTATATCCTGGTGGACACAGACAGACAGGAACGTGCGCTTGTACGTTACAAATAGATAACGTTCCACAAGTATTGGGACATGGATCTGTACATTTGAAACCAACACACGCCAACTGTGGTGCGCAATCATTGTTTGTTTCGCATTCCCTGTGACATCCCTTGATGATATCATACGGATCGCCTATTAGATCTGGTGGACATCCGCAGGCACCTGCTCCGTTTCTTTCACGACATTGCGCGTTGGGACCGCAAGGATTCGGCGAGCAAGGATTCGATATGGTCCTATCTGTCGCTATAAATATATAAAAACTTGTAATATTTAGATATAATTACTATGTCTTCTTAAATAACTCCCTTCTTCAACAACTTAATTCTATATAAATATCAGAATTTCTATTCACCTGGTGGAGATGCTAGGACGCAGCGCACAGTGGGATCGCCCTCATATCCTTCCGGACAAGTACAAATTGGAACATGATTTTGCACTGTGCATTTGGCAATCTCGCCGCAAGCGCCAGGGCAAGGATTCTTGCATCTTTGATTAATGCACGCTGCGGTATTAAAGCATTCCGAGTTGTCGGTGCACTCAGGTCTACAATTCGGTGGACGGCCGATGTAGTTTTGCAAGCAAGAACATGCTGGATGAGAGCCTATCACTCTGCACTGAGAGTTCGGACCGCATGGATTTGGTAGACAAGGATCTTCTTCTCCCTTCGGCGACGGTGATGTAGTGCTGATCCTAGTACAATGAACGAAGGGATCGCCGGAATACCCGCTGGCGCAGCTACAGATAGGATTGTGATTCACCGTAAGGCAATTCGTGTTCTGTCCGCAAGAACCTGGACACGGATCCGCACACTTGTTATTGATACATGCTCTGTTCTGTGAACATTCAGAACTGACAATGCAACCCGGTCGGCAGGTAGGCGGAACTCCGGAGAATCCTGGTTGGCAGAGGCACACTGCATGTCCGTCGTGCGTTCGACAGTTGCTGTTGGGTCCACATGGTGATGGATCACAAGGATCAATTGGCACGGGCAACGGCGTCACGATGATTATGGTACAGCCGTTTACCGGATCACCGGTATATCCCGGTAGGCAAGAGCACATCGGTGCATGATTAACCACGCGGCAAGTGGCATCTTGGCCGCAAGTACCAGGACATGGATTGACACATTTGTTGTTCAGACAGGCCTTACTGCGATCGCAGTCGGCGTTAGTCACGCATTCTGGTCTACAAGCAATGTACGGATCGCCAAAGTATTGCGGTAGACATGTGCAAGATCCGACTTCGTTTCGTTCGTTGCACACTGCGTTGGCACCGCATGGCGATGGATTACACGGCGTGCGTGGTTGCTCTGTCGTAATAGGTGCTGGAATAAATTATATATAATTATATATAATTAATAACTATTAGGAAATAAATAGTAAATAAAAATAACTACATCAGTTTAACACTTTGTCAAGTCTTTATAAATAAATACATACCTTCTACGATTGGTGTACATTCCGTAAACGGATCACCCGTATAACCCTCGTTACAGATACAGACGGGATTGTGTTTTACGACATTGCAATACGTGTTTACGCCGCAAGATCCTGGACACGGGTCCACACACTGTTCGTTCTGGCACGCCAAATTTCCGGGACATCCTTCATTTATGACACACTCGGGACGGCAATTTGGTGCGCGGCCAACGTAATTCGATAAACACGAGCATGCCGGAAAACCGTCAATCACTCGACACTGGGAATTCGGTCCACATGGTGAAGGGACGCAAGGATTGCCGCTTGGTTTCGGTAAAGGTGTTATTTCTGTTATGAATTGCGCATTAAGACTTAGATTTTTGTGTGTATTAAATTCTTATATTAATTTATAATATAATCCAAGTAATTCAAATAATTCAAATAATGAGAAAATATTAAAAATGTATATAAATTAATCAAATTTCTAGTATATTTGGAGATAAAAATTTTAAGACAATGATTCAAAAAACAATTTGAAAACTTGCCTTCCTTAACGCAACCGAAGAACGGATCTCCACTATAGCCAATCGCGCAGATGCAGACTGGATTATGATTGATCACTCGGCAGTCTGCATTCACACCGCATGTGCCTAGACATGGATCTTTACATCTTTGATTAATACACGCCGTGTTTGGGCTACAATCTGTACTGACTACGCATTCTGGTCGACATGACGGTGGACTACCGATGTAATTAGGTTGACAAGAGCACACTGCATGATTATCAATAACGCGGCAGTTGCTATATGGTCCACAGGGAGATGGTTGGCACGTATCGCCCGGTGTTGAAGATTCTACAAAAAATAGATAATGTTATATACTATTTAAACTTCTTCTTATTTATATTCTTATTTATATATATCAAAACCCAGGAAAAATTTTATTGACGTACTTATTGGTATGTGGCAAGACGTAAGAGGGTCTCCGGTATAACCAGAGAGACAACTACAAGATGGTTGATGATTATAAACTTGGCATTGCGCGTTAATTCCGCACGCTCCCACACATGGATCCTTGCATTTATTGTTAATACAAGCCTTCGTATGAGCACAATCTGAATTCTGAACACATTCCGGTCTGCAACCTTCGTAGGGATCACCAGTATAATCAGGTAAACAAGTGCAAGATCCCGCGCCGTTACGTTCTTTACATACAGCATTCGTACCGCACGGCGAAGGATCGCACGGTAATTGCACTGGGAAAACAACTATAGAGCAAAAATGTGTTTTTATCCGGAACATGCATAATATATCAATTTAAGATCGCTAAAATTGTTAAAATCTTACCTTTGGCGCAACCTGAAAAAGGATCTCCTTCATATCCTTCATAACAATGACAAATAGGTCGATGATTCAACACCGTACAATTCGTGTTAAATCCGCACGATCCAACGCATGGATCTAAACATTTCTTTTGAATACAAGCTAAGGAGCTAATGCAGTCCTGATCAATCACACACTCTGGTCTACAATTCGGTGGTGCTCCGAACATACCACTGATGCATGTGCATATCGGATGATCCTCTTGAACTCGACAATCAGCATTAGGCCCGCAAGGCGATGGCAAACAAGGATTCGTTGTTGGAGGTAAAGGTTCTGAAAAAAATAAAGTATAATGACAGATTAAGCAATATTAAAAAGCCTTTTCATATAACTCAACAATAAATACGTTATTTATTTAATTCATAAAAATTAAATTTTAGCGAGTGCCTTTGATTTTCTACATTTCTCATTACAACATGAATTACATCTTCTTAATCATTAGAGATGAGCTCTGCGTCATATGTTTTAAAATTGAAAAAATTAAATATTTTAACTATTGTATCTTACTTTCTATAATTAACAACACAAAAATGAGTTAAAAAGGCATATTCTTTAATAAAGGTCCATTATTAAACTATTACAATACGCTAACATAATGTATTACCTTCTTTGACGCATTGCGTGAATGGATCGCCAGCATATTGACGAGGACAACTACAAATTGGATTGTGATTGATAACTTGACAATCAGCGTTCAAACCACACAATCCTGGGCAAGGATCATTACACTTTTGATCAATGCAAGCTAAATGAGCCGGGCATTCCGTGCTGACGAGACACTCCGGACGGCAATGCGGTGGAGTGCCTTGGTAACCCGGACTACATGAACAAACTGCACGATCGTTCATTACACGGCAAATACTGTGTGGACCGCATGGCGATGGCATACACGGATTCTGATCTGGCACTTCTACAAAAAATGAAACCGAATTAAACTTTTTATATTACATTAATATTGTTCTTAGTTAGTATAAATATATCATTCAATTTTTATCGTACATTTTAGATTCAAATAAGATATTCTATGAAAACGATAAATATAAAAG